ATGGATCAATGGATGGATGGATGGATGGATGGATGAATGGATGGATGGATCAATGGATCAATGGATCAATGGATCAATGGATCAATGGATGGATGGATGAATGGATGGATGGATGGATGGATGGATGGATGGATGGATGGATGATGCAGTTTGGTTGACACAGGAAGTCATGATTGACCCTTAGGTGAGTGATGCTGAAGTTAGCCTAGCATGTTTCAAAGTTCTCCATGTGATTAAAGGTAATGAGTGCTTCAATGTAATGAGCCAGGGCTTATAACTATGTTTGCAATAATATTACAGGCAGGGTTCTCAAGTTCAGATATGGGAATCAGTGTTGGAAGAAATTAAAAGTAAGAAATTGTGCATGCTGTTGTTTGTTTTTAGTAGACTGGTGTGAATTGGATCTTAGCTTAGCATTAGAGGGCTAATAGTTTACGCCACAAAGCAACTACAACAAAACATACACAAACTGCCCTCAGGCATTCAAATACATCCAGCCCTACATTACATACGGTGTCAGCTGCATTTCTCCTATTCTCAGTGTCTGTTATAACATCGACCAATAAATCCTTGAATAAATCACGATGATTTGTTTACAATTCTGCCTCATTCGCCAACAGGCTTTTCACAGATTCATTTTGTATTCTATCGTACACCACTTCAGCTCATTCAGCTTCTTTTAGGAATTCAAATGAATGGAAATGTCATTAAATATTCCTGTGAAATGCATATTTATGACCCACTGTAAGCATATTAGTGCTGTGAAAGTCAGACCCGCTGCCAGCAAAGAGCCAAAATGCGTTTCAGGCAGACACTTCACAGCAGTGAAGAGGACGGATGTTGTTTTAACCTCCTTTTTATTCGGTCTACCTTTTAGCCCTGCACACCAGGTGAGAGAGACACACATTTTTATTTTAAATCAAATAACTGAAAATGTTATTGCTAAGGCCATATCTATGTTAGGACTCCACCGTTAAGCGTAAGAGTGCAGCGACTGGAGACTGATACAAGTTAATCTAATTTTATTATTCGTAATATAGTATAGATTGTACATCAGCAATTAAATACTCAACTACAGGAGAGAAAATACCATCAGGAGATAATCTGCCCCATGTGAGGTAAAGAGTGTGTGTGAGAGGAATGCAGAAAAATGGACGTTGATAGAGAGGGCAGAAAGAGACGCAGTGTTAATGTTAATAAGAGTACCAGTTTCAATGGAACTTCTTTAATATGCTGCCCACAGAACTTTATATGTGGAAAGCATTAAGGGCCTTATTTTAATTTGCTAAATTTATATAATTATTCGTTTTTTTAGGTGTAAAGATAAACTCGCATCTCACTCCTCATTCCTCATGATTTTCCTCGTTTTTCCTCTTAAGCCTTCCCTTTTCCTGTCTTTTCCCACTGTGCTAAGCTGTGGCTAGCGATGGCAGGTACTCCATCTTCTTACTTGGGCTCACCACAGAGAACAGGGCTCAATAATTAAGTATAACTTCTTTACTTAAGCAACCACATTGTACCAGCGCACTGCTGCTGTTTCCTGTTTTCCCTCTGAAACGTGTGCACATGCTGTTCCTCCACTCACTGATATGCATTGGAACATACTCTGGAAAATAGTGACCGTAAAGCTTTAATTTAAAAAACTTCAAATCGCAAATCTCATTTGAAAAACAGATGCATTAGAAACTTGCAATCGGCCAAATTGTTGCATAAAACGTTGATTTCAGACCTTAGTTTCACAATCATGCATCTCTTCTCCCATAAGGCCTCCCAAAACAAAGGCCTGCATCCACAGTGTGTTTACCCTATAAACAAACATTGCCAGTGTGGCCACAGCCTGACAGCTTATTTTCTCCGAGCCAAAGAACTCCATTGTTGACCTAAACCTATTAAACTAGAGTATGGGGCACATGGGTGAAATGTTCTTTCTCTATATGATAAACATGGGCACACTATTTATTACACTCATCCCCCACATTGGTAGTCCTGTTGCTGTAAATACGCACAGGGGCAACAAATCTGCAGCTGAAAGTAGTCCCTAATTAGAAAAACGAAAGTATGTATGCGTGTGTAGGAAGTTATTTAGTTGCTTTTTCTATGTTTAAATAAATAATAGGAAAGTTTGTGACCTGCTTCAAGTGTTTTTCCATTTTCACACAGGCAGGGAACGTCAGAAAATACTGACGGACGAACTATAGCTCTGTCAGTTTCTTTTTAACTTTAACAAACAAAGCATATTGCCAGCGTTACTCTTTGATAAACAACCATTTGGATCTGTTGTACACATTAAACTTTGATCAGTCCTGCAGGTCACTGAGAGAACATGAGGGTGAGCATGCTAAAACGTCATGACAGATGGAACTATTTTTGCATCTTTGCTGCAGTGCCCGTGTGATTAGCGATGTCTCTTAAAAGGTCGTGCATACCAGCCTGTGGACATATTCCCCTTTGGAGGGAGAATTCGATGACAGCTGTGCGGCGAGAGAAGGACCGCGCCACGCTTCGACTCGAACATTTCTTGGGATGCACTTTTAACCCACTGTAATATGAATGAAGGACAGGAAGTGGGATGGAGGTTCTTCCTGTGTATGTTGGCTCTCTCCTTTAGCAATATGGACTGTAAGCTCATTAATAGTTTATTTAGAACAACATCCTCAGTGATCCCAACTTCTACTCTACTCTACTTCTATTCCAATAAGCTCTTTCACTGCACCAGTGCATTGGGATTTTGATGCACATGGATCTGTTTAATGTATGCTGTTAATTCACTGATCTCAGAAGACAAAGGGGGACATAACAGCAAGCTCACAATCCTATTATATATGACAATCCTATTATACATGATATGATAATTATATATATTTAGCGTGGAGGAGAGCTGACAGAAATGACAAATAAAAGAAAAAATTGCAACCAAGCGAAGCCTCGCCACCTCACTCTGAGCCCGGCACAAACACAATTACTGCTAAGAGACGTGTTCAATTTGACTATCATCCTAGACATATATGTGTGTGTGTGTGTGTGTGTGTGTGTGTGTGTGTGTGTCAGCTATCTGGCACGGCTGTCTGCTTTTCTCTTAATAGGCGATGAGAAAGACAACAAACAGCCAAAGACCCATGTGAAATCGATAATCCCCTAAATTCTTCCAAAAAAAACGAGGAGTGAAATGTAAAAAAAAATAAAAACGATGGGACATTTAGCTCTCCAGGCTGGGACCCGAGGATTACACACCACTGTGCTCATAATAAGAGGGGATAATGAAAACTTAGAGGTGATGTGGAGGCCCTGCTGTCCTGTGAAATAACTGTTTAATCAAGGTCCATTTGATGCTTTGTCTGTTTTTCAAGTTCTGTTTGCTTCTGTGCTCAGCCTTTTCTATCTGGCTGATATTTACTCTGAATAATAGTATTGGTAGAAGTCAAATCGAGACATAAAAGAGGGAGTCTGCATGTCCTCTCGCTTGCCAGTATAGGTTTTATATACCTCACATCTAAAGAGAAGCAGACTGTAGGTTAATTAATGATTTGAAGGTGCACAGAGGTGTGAATATGTAGTTTTATATCTGGCAATCAAGGTTTGGCTAATAGACTAAATGGATAGCATGTGAAAAAAGTAGAAATTCTTCATACTACACCTGGATTGAGTTTTCAGGTAGTTTTAGGTTCATACTTAGCTTGAGCATTTACTTTTCTGAAAACTTTTCACTTATACACCCTACATTTGAACACAAATATCTTTACTTTCAAGTCAAGTCGCAGAACAGTAAAGGGCCTAGGATGGATCCCTGTGGTATCCCACAGGTCAGACCAGATTGGGAGGATGTGGCGTTGGTTTAGTTTACAGAGAAAGTTCTGTTCTTCAGATATGAGGTGGGACTACTAAATACAATTTAAACTAGGTGTTTAAGCAGTATATCGTTTTTTAAATTCTTGTTTTTTGTGTTTCAATGATTTGTAGTTTAATAGTATTTTAAATATGACATGAGGTGCATGTCTGATGGAAACATTTTACTGCTTGACAATCAAAATGATTCACAAAGCAGTCAGTCTTTTAAAGCCTGTCCTGTACATTCTGTCCCTCTAAGAGGTATTTTTCCCATCCTTTCACCTGTTTCTTTACCTACAGAGCCACCAAGCCAGCCGAGGACACCTGGGGAAGGACTTAGCAGGTGTTTAAAGTTTTAGCACATCACCCCAACTCCCCCGGAAAACAATGTACACTGGAGACAGTGAGAGAAAAAAAATAGATAAGTCGAACCGCTTCTGAATGTTTCATAAGGAGCTCGAGCCTGGAGGATAAGTGAGACTGACATTGGCATTGAGAGAGCGGGGGGGGGGGGGGGGGGGGGCGGAGCGCGGGAGAGAATTATGCATACAGCTCAGAGGTTTCTCATGATGCAAGTGCACGGCGTTTAGGGCAGCATACTGTAGACGCACTGTAGCACTCATTACAAGCCTGATTCTGCGAAGCATCTAGGCGGGAACACGAGGGAAAATCTGAACGCATCCATCCACAAAGACAAGAGGGAAGAGTATAGAGTTCTAAATCAATCCTCATCCATCTGTCTATATGTATCTTCAGCCTATGCCCTCCCTGAGCTTCTTTACATGTTTTTAAATGAGGACTATGTTTAGGTATGCATTTCTATCCTCTGTGTACAGAATCACAAATGACTGGATACACATATAGCATCTTTACAGTTTTAGAGCACACCACTGTGCTGAGGGTTAAGGGATTTAGGGACACATGATATCATCTGTGTGATTATATTAAGAATGATTGTAAACATCAATTTTCTTTCTTCTTTGAACGATATCCAAGCAAAGCAGGAATGACTACATCATCTCAATGTTGGAAAAATTACGTTTTTCTTCACTGGTTCATCCCTTCATGAAAAAAACAAAGCACTTGTAAATGTAGTACCAGCTAAGCAAAACAACCCCCTCATATTACTTCAGCATATTAAGCCATAACGGTCTGAAAAGTGTGTGCTTTGTTACCTGCGCAGAAGCAGTTTAGGGTGATTCTTGCTCTCCAGGTTGCGGTCGATGAGGTCCGACAGCAGGTGTTTGAGGACATCGGTGGCGTACTCAGGCGCCCTTGCAACGCCGTCATGATAAGTGAGGCCACGTTGCCGCGGTCCCTCATGGAGAAAGAGCGCTGCATTTCCAGCGTTCGGATGAAGGTGAGCAGGAACACCTTGTTGTTGATGAGCTGGCCGAACAGCTTCAGGGCCTTCTCCACGTTCTGCTGGCCGTTCCCCGACACCTGCACAGAACACAATGCACGTTAGCTCTGCTGATACATTTCCAGTGCTTGTTTTCCAGTGTTCATAAACAAGAAGCTGGGTGAGTTTTTTCAAGGATTCCAGCTCTTCTGCTTTCCTCTTGACCTTGTCGCGCACAAAATAAAGATTTTTTCTTTTTGCCAAGTGCCCCAAAAAGCCTTGCTCATGTTTCACTGCAGGCAGACAGAAGTTCCCACTCACAGTAAGTAACTGAGAAGATCTTAATCAATTATTGACTGGGGTCTGTTAAAAAGCACAGCACCCTGAGTAATCTGCCTTTTCACTTTCAAGGCAAATGTCAGAAAACTTGCCTGGCAAAGACAATGAAACAGCCACAGAACTTACTTCTGTGTTGTTTCTTGTTTGACTACACTATTTTGAATTTTAAAAGTAGTAAGGATCAACTACAGTCAAAGTTTCTGTTTCGGTCAATGGCTTTGCCTCTTGCTCTTCAACAACAAGTTTAGTCTGATCAGAAATATGACCCCTCTATTATCATTACACTGCTTCTAGATTGAACAGCAACTGAATAGTCTATTCATTGTTATAATCCAGAGAGACATCAAGTCAGAGGCTATTTAAGAGAAATACATATCCTATTTGTTAAAGTTTGATAACAGCTAATATGTAAAACTACTTTCTTGCTGACATTACGTTAGCTAGGAATTCACCTTGTTTGTATTCTCTACTGCAACGCTACTAAAGATCATATTAGCTTTCTGAGAGCTTAGCTAAGTGAGTGTTTGAAAGTAACTAACTGGTTATCAGTCAGCATTAGACGTCTTTCTCAGTTTGCATTGTGTTAGATAGAAAGTTACCTCGATCCAATTGTGTCTTAAAGCACAACCAAAAGGTAACATAAGCTTCAACCACTCCCCAGTTACCGTAGCAATATGTGGCTGAATAATAAAGTTTGTTGTTGTTTAACAGTAGCTAATTAGTTATTAACATTAGCATTAATAACTTAGTTAACAATGTATTTTCTAAGAAGTTAGCTCCATCGTAGCACTTCCAAAAATACAAGCTTACTAGCTGATGTAGCAAAGTAAGTTGCCAAATGCTAACATTAGCTGTTGTTACAAAGCCATTAATTAATATCTAAGTTAGCAATTAATTTGCTAATAGTTACCTCTACCCTACTGTATCTACTGTACCAAAAATATAAGCTTCAGTCATTTCCTAGCTATTGTTGCAAGAAAGTTGCTGAATGCTAATGGTTAGCAACTCTGTTGTTATAACAAGAAATATGGTGCTTTCCTTTGGATTTAAACTATAAATTTCCTTTTCACAATCTTGTAACTGCATTTGAGTACCCAAACCCGACCATGACATCAGAAGAGACAGGCCACCACCTGAATGTGGTCCTGGTGAATCGTTTTTTCCTGATACTTTCATTTTCTGGACTTTCCCCCCCCTGTGTGTTCCACATAAATAAACTCATTGCAAAGCAGCACTCTGGTCCCACAAAACGCAGTGCGAAAAAGTGTTTACCAGCCAGTTTTTTTCCCCCCCAAATGGAGGAACCCACAGTCCTGCCTTAGGATTGGGAATTACTCAGTTCATTACCTCTCATACTGCAGCCACTGGTGGATGAAATAGCCATGTGCTGGGAACCAGGTTTTCCAAGAGGGAGTGTGCATGTGCGGCTACATACTTGTATGCATGCTGCTCAGCATGATTGGCCATATATGTGTGTGTTAAGACCAGAGGGTAGAGAGGATAAGTGGCACATGCTCCTTTCCCCCTCTAGCACTTTGCTGCTTATGGAGGTTACCCTGCAGGGAGAGTGGTGAGGGCGAGACAGTCTACCAGCCTCTCCCTAGCTCTCTTTTTCACCTCGGTTTGACTTTTTCTTGCCCTCTCTTAATGCGTTTGCTGCTTATACGCCTCAGACATCTCTCGCTGCCTGTCGTTTCTCTTGTTACCTCCAGCTCTCTGAGGACAGGATGATCCTCGATGCCGGGGAAGAGGACCCTCATGGCGTACGTCCTGTAGTCCAGATGGGGGATACCGGCTCTGTCCAGGTCACTGGTAAGCTCATTGATGTCTGTCTGCAGCTCGGCGAAAGCTGTGGGAGAAGAAAGAGAGACGAGTTAAGAGCGAATACTTGAGACATGCAGCATCAGAATAACACCTGAATGCCCTGGGGACCAAATACGTGAATCCTTCTCATCTTCGTGGTGTTTACTAGCGCTAAGATGAAGCTGACAGTTAAAGCCCGAGATAGTCTTCATGTCAGGAAAAACTCAATATTTCCCATTCCATCCTTTTAAAAAAACTCTCTCTCTCTCTCTCTCTCTCTCTCTCACATACACACATACGCCTCCCTTTCTCACTCATTTTATCTACCAGCCAGTAAATTGGCTGTATGTGGCCCCAAAGAGCGCATGTCATCTCAGTGTGAGGCTGCAGGTGAGCACTAGTTAATTGGCTCCATCCTGACTGACTCCTGTTCGGGGGCCAACGGCTCAGTTGCTCTCCCTTGCCGGCCTCTGGGGAGGCTCCCCGCCCCCCACCCCACCTGTCTGCAGCCTATCACAGGAGCAGCAGCAGTCCCACAACACTCCTCCTTAAAACTCTGCCAGTCTTAGCCCCTCACATCCCGGCCCTCCTTTTGCGACTCATGGGTTTTATACACCGACATGCGGGGGCTCACAGGCACACATGAAGTGGATTTTCTTATAAGGAGAAACTTGGGTACCCGTTTCCTAATCCACCCTTCAGGGCAGGACACTCCTGGCCACTGCTAATGGTTAAAAACATTAATCTCCTCCTATCCCAAGGCTGTCTGTGTATGGCTGACTCCCCCTGTTTGCCTGCTATGTCTGACTGTCTGTCATTTGCCCATTCTGGAAGTTTCTTTTCACTGCTGGGAAAGAAGGGGATACATCATAATGTCCTGTCTTGCTGATGAAATCCTCCGGACGCTGTCAAGCATATACCATCTCAGTGATTGTCTGTTATGACCCGGTGATGACATCAGGGGCCAACCAGCAGTCGTTATTTAAAAAGTCTCTATAAAAACGCAGTGTTGCGACATAGAGACACTCTTTGTGAACTGTTGTTTGGAGCGGTGGCAAGATGTCAGCCTGAGGTTATCTGCGGTCGTCCCCAATGGGGAGAAGGTCAGAGATCAGGTGAACTACAACGCCCTCACTTAACCCCGAGCCACAAGGGAGGAGTGTGTTTCAAAGCAAGATGCTTCTGTAGCAAGGACACCAACAACTTAGGATGAAGACAAAGCATTTTATTGTTCACTTATTTGGTTTCAAAACACACAAAGCACACAGCCGCCCAACTAGACTTGTGTCGAAACCAGTATCAGAAATGCCTCTGACTTTGACTAAATATATGAATGATAAAACAATTCTTCTTAGTAAGTGAAGTCTGCACAGCATGAGGGAACAAAAAAATGTATCGCAACATCTCTACACACACCAGACAAAAGTTGCAAAAAAAAAAAAAGACAAACGTAGCGTTTACCCCTTCAGTTAAGACCAGAATAAATTGTAATCAGCATAATGTGCCTCTTGCTGCGAGGGAGGTTGGGGTTACTCTAATGAGAAACTCTGTATTCATGTAGCTGTTTTGTGTGCAGAATGCAAACTAAGAAAGCAGCGAGGAAAATGGAAGGACGAACGAGACGGGTCACATGCCGGGGTTAACTGACTTAATCTATGTGCTGCGATGTACAACCAGGATGACTCACTGACCCAGATTTGGAGAAATTTTCTCTGCATTATTTAACACACACTCAAGACCACCAGGAAGTTCCTGACTATACTATATATGCTCAAATACGCATTTATGCTCGTTATGTGATTATAGTCTGCACAAGTGAGATGCATTCACCGCCCCATTCAGCGACATGAGTAGCAGAGCAGCCTCTCAAATGACTGTCTGTAAATGCTTATATCAAAAAGCAGAGACCATAATCATGCTCACTCTACAAGCTGACGTCTGAGTGTAGGCTGCTACAAAGTGCTGACTAACACTCGTCTCACCTTCTTTGCACTCCAGGGCGACGCGTGACTCCAGGTTGTCCATTTGCATCTGCAGGCGCTTCAGGGTGAGGTCATTCTCACGCGACTTCCGCTTGTAGGCGATGAGGACGAGGATGACGATGATGAGGAGGAGGCCACCGCCGGCGGCGATGCTGACGATGGCCGGCAGGGTGAGCAGGCTGTCGGACATGATGTGGACCGCGCCCGGGGAGACGTGGAGACCGCCTACCTGGACCTGTGCAGAGACACACACACACACACACAATCAAGATACATCCCAAATAAGTGTCTTTGAGAAAATTGCCAGTATTTTGTAAACAATGTTCCTTTTATCCACATAGGCTGTAACTAAATCCCTAATCTGATGTGCTCGTTCAAATTTCATTCACTGAAATTGCTTATATTGACGCAATAAGTGGCTGTGATTGTTTTATGAAGTGTCTGACATTATTACAAAAAGTTTCCAGCAGAGACTGACTATTTTCTTAAGGGTGGATAATTTTTTTTTTTTTTTTCCTAAAGCACAAACAGCTGTTAGTTAGCGCTCTTCAAATCCACCAAAAATAATTTAACCTTGCAAACATAGGAGTTAATTGTCTACAGCTGCCTTGATTGGCATGCTTGTTTGTGCTATTGTATGACTTATGTGTTTAAATGGTTGCATTCTGATCCAACACTATGTTAAGTTAACACCCAATAACGCTGCAACATGGACTCAGTATTTAGCTCGTAGTGTTTTTTTGTGAATTGAGTCTTGTGGCTTTGAAGAGAGCGATGACGACTGTTTCAAGTTAAAAAAGTGAAATCATTCTCCAGAACAAAGAAGTTTATCTCATCAGGGGATTTTGTTGGATGCTTTGAAAAACAATCTGAGCTTTTCAGTTGCCCTCTTTTATCTATGAGTCACTAAGACCCCAAATAAGTAAAAAACTAGGGCCCAGGTTTAAAAATACCCAAACTCCAGTTTCAAGCTTCAACCTTCAGGGAGACAAATCAGCTCCTTATGTTTCAACACAATCCAATCCCTGGTCTTGTGGCTCCATATCACACGGTAACTGATGCACCGCATTGCATGAGCCAAACCAAAACATATTGTCAATATTGTCCAATGAAATTGATGCTGAGAGCAAACACATGCAGCCACCTGCACACTGACATTAAGAGGGAGAGAGTCCGGGGTCTTGCACTCAATAAGCGAGCAAGCAACTAAAAATAATTGCTTCAGATTCTGGCAGAAACCTTTTGACAGCTAGAGCACATTCACGCTGTTCTCCCTTTCACCTTTTTTTTTCTTCTTCTTCAACTGAATGAACCATGATGAGAGACGAATAATTGACTATTTTGAAGAAGGAATCACAGATAAAGGGGATAGACAGTGGAGACAAAGTTAGGGATGCAAAACACACACATACTGACCATGACTTTGTATTGTCCGGTGAGGTTGGGGGGCTCACACAGCAGCTGGCTCTCGGACACAGTGACAGAGCAGGGGGTCTCTCCAATCAGCACCGTGTAGTTAAGCTTCACCCCTCCTGACGCCGGGGGAACCAGGTTTCTGCCCTGTGGGCACATGGAGACGCACAGAGGGGGTTTCAAAATTAGGAGGAAGAACTCGGACACACCGACACATGGCTCAATGAGGATCAGAGAATTTTTTTTTACAAAAACCCGCGGAGCCAATATGTCCCCTCGATACACTGTAAATTAGATCTGCAGGTTTGGACACAGCTGCGGCTGAATGCGGCGACATACTGAGATCAAACAAGGTGATGTACTTCACAGAGAGATAGAGAGAGAGAGAGAGAGAGAGAGAGAGGGGGAACAGCTGGCAAGCAGGATGAAGAGATGAAATATATTCCTAGATAAAGGCTTAGAAGACTTCAAAAATGTGTGAAAGAAAATCCCATAAACTGTCTTTAGAGCTCAGAACATTGAAAGGGACACATTCAAACTTGGTCTATTATAAAAAAGTGTAAACTCTTGAAGTAAATGAAAGTTTTCTGGAGGTATTTCTGGATTCTTTTTCTTCTATCTCCCAATAATGCACTTTTTTTATTTTGGACAGTGAATAAAATGTTTAAATCACATCAGTTCCGTTTCATGTTTTTGTGTTTATTTAGCTCATTTGGATTTCTTAAGAAAGTAAGAAATGATTGTCCACTAGTTTTGGTTCTGAACTTCCCAAGAATCAATGAGTAAACTTTAAGGAACATTTTTCCGACCACACTTGACATCGGAGTCCAAACATGTAGATGTAGATCAAGTGTGGTGTAACGTAAATGAAAGATTTTGGAATTTAAATATGCCATTATGGGGCCCAGGTGGCCTTGAGATTGGTTGTGCCCAAATGTACGGAAGCTCTTGTCCTCCAGGCGGGTGGGTTCAAGGCCGGCCTGTAGCTCCTTGTTCAGTATGCTGAACCTGTTTTGGCAATGAGCTTTGTGGAGGTCTTAACAACTGAGCTCTCTCACAGTGATTCTGGCAGTCGGTTTCCAATACAATTAATTCAACTTTTTCAAGATATTCAGCTTTTGATTTTTATAAAACCAGAGTTTATAAAACTGTCTATTCTCCATGCTGCATAGGAAGTCTGGAAGAGCAGTCTGTGTCTTGTTGAAGGACACATTAATAAATCTCCTGTGAAGGTATGCATCATTTAATATTTTTAAATGTATGCTAATCTGCATGCTCTTTACCTTGAGAATGATGGGCGAGCCCGGCTTCTGCTCGAGGACGCCGGAGGTGCTGAGAGGCTCGAAGTAAGGGTTCGGGTAGTAGAGGAGGTTGGTGTTGTTGTAGACCAGCAGCGCCTGCACGTTGTTGAAGATGAAGCCGAACTCGTCCGCGTGTTTCACCGTGTCCAAAGCGGGGTGATACTCTGCCATGAGGGAGGGGGCCAAGCAGCTCATAGTGGTGGTGTTCAACACTTTGCACACCTGAGGGGAGAACAAAGACAGGAAGTACAAACGTTAGAGAGAAATCAGAGTTTATAAGATGTTATTTCACTGCTTTGATTTCAGAGCATCCTGGAATAAGACAAGAATTGGAGAAGTAGTGGAAGTTTATTTTGGCCTGCATTAACACTGTCACCTGTCCAAAAGGAATGTAGAAGTTATACATAAAATATAAATAAAATGCATTGAGGAATAAATACATTGAAAAAGGGCAAAAACAAGCATTTATTTTTCTTTTAATTTGATCAGGAAATTATTATATTTGACAACAAATCACATAATCCTTCCATCTTTAAAAGTCACAAAGTTTTAATAAATGCTCAGAAACATTTTCCAGTGTCCAAAGTGCTGTCTTTAAACTCCCTCTTATGTCAAACCACCAAGACTTCATGGATTAAACAATTTAAAAGTTGCAGCTTTAGACCTGAATTGTGATTAAAGCTCCCGGGCTGAACTTTCAGTATGTGTCGATTTTGGTGCCCATTGTAGATCCTGCTTTTGTTTTAGCAATCAAACAAAATACTCACTGTGAATCTGTAAAAAATATTTAAAAAAGTCTGTTTCTGCAGCAAGCTGACACCTACCCTGCGGCAGTGCTTTCCAACATTTTTCATGTCGGCTTTTGCAGCTCATAAAGAGACATCAGTATTAGTTTCAGTCTGTTTCATAACAGTCTAAAATCTCCTCACAGGAGCTTTAAGTCATCCAGGAAACACTCATGATAGATAATAAAAAAGGTTTATTTTTCTCTGGCTCCAAAAATAAAACAAACACACACACACACATACAGCACAAAGTTTCAAGCTGATCACTTTAAAAGCCTTCTGTTTGTTGTTACCTTAAGTATGATCTTTACTGAAACACATTGGTATCAACATGAACCCTGCAGGAAGATCAGCAGCTTAACAACTGGCATATAAACTCATCCTTTTCTGAGAAAAAGCATTTATATCATCTCATTAAATCCATCTTTATTGGAGAGGAGAGGAAGCCTCCATAAAAAAAAGCAAAAATAAACTTCTGCTACAGCTTTACTGAAACCCCCCCCCGGAGGACAACAACAAAGGATAGAGGCATTGCTCCTCTGTCTCCTTAGGTGGAGGTTGAGCTATGACTCTTTTATTACTTCTCGCTCCACTTTTCACCCCTATGAGAGACCTGTCTTCCATCCGTCCTCACCGGCTCAGTTCTAAAGGGACGGAGAGCGAGGATTGATTGCTGCACGGCACTCGGCTCACAGAAGGGTTTTATCTCCTTTCTCTCCCTCTCAGCGTTCTCTCTCTCTCTCTCTCTCTCTCTCTCTCTCTGGGGAGGAAACCTAATTAGAGGTAAATATCATCAAAGCTGGTGAACGCTGGCCACTACCACGCCTCCTACCTGTTGTCTGCTGCTCAGGAGCGAGACGGGGAGATCGATGCAAACTCATTGTGTGCAGGCTAAAGCAAAGTGCAATGCGAGATGCAGGAGGAGTGTGACTACAGAGGTGGAAAGAGAGGCCGGTCTCCTTAAACACAAGAGAGTGTGTGTTTGTGTTTCAACTTTGTGGAACATCGGAAATGTGGAAAAACTTAAGCAGGGGACTGTGCTGTATTGTGTTGTAATGTGTTTGTGACTCTGGGCTACCAGTAAGGATTAATTTAATCAAGCATTAATCTGATAATCATTACTGTTATTCAGTGTCGGGGAAGCTGCCTAACGAAGCTGCCAATTACTTCACACTGGAAGAAAGTGAACTACAGCAAAGCCCCCAGAGGGAGATGTGTTATCTAAAGCTGCAAAAAGAAGTTTACACTACTTTGGAAAAATCTAACTCATAAGGAGATGTGATCAAAAACAGTTAAAGAAAATGTAAGGAAATACAAAAGTCACGTGCCATTTTTTGATAAATGGTAAATGGCCTTGAGCTTGTATAGCGCTTTTTCTAGTCTTCTGACTACTCAAAGAGCTTTTACACCACAGCTCACACCTACACATTCTCACACTGGTGGCAGAGGTTGCTGTTTGAAGGCTTTATATGCGATTTTTCACACTTAAATATAGTAGAAATCAAGTATATCCTCTGAAAATAACTCTGTGAGTCATGACTGTCTACAATGGGTGTAACACCCGAGTCCCACTGTCTGTGATGCTTTGCGAGTCCTATCTTCAGTTTGTTTACATCGCCTGGACGGCCGGCTGACTCCTCCCCTCGCGAATAAAGTTGTTTAATTGAGGGACTAGAGAAAAGAAGAATAACATACTGTACTCACTGCTTAACTGTGTTTCTAGATCACGCTCATTTCAGGTAAATTTACATGCAGTGTGAAGATACGAGCACAATAACGATCGCTAGCATTAGCGTGCTAACACAACAATGCACGGCGAGGTGTTTTGGTTTCATGCTGGTGCTCAAGGGCGACATCTGCTGGATCAAAAAATCGCATATAAAGCCTTTAAAGTGACCATCAGAAGCAACTTATCCCATTCATACACGACCAACGAAGCAGCGTGGGATTGAACCCGGTTGACAGACGACCAACTCAACCAACTGAGCCACAGCCGCCCACTAAATGTGCCAAAGGTCACATGTTAACCTATAAAATACCACACTGTTTGTAGGAGGGTGAAATGCCTACCAGTCAGACTCCTGCCTTCCATAAACAACAGAAGAAGAAGACATACCGGTACTTTATCAACCCCCCGGGGGAAATTCATGTGGGGGTATTGCTCCAAGTTAGCATTTTACAACCTCAATAAGCATGTGTTGATAAATAGCACTAATCCAACCCTAAGACTTAATGCAGTGCATGGACAGGCCCTTTGCAGAGGAGAGGGTGAAAGAAAAAAGATGCTAAGATCCGGTTAAAGGAGGTTTAGTTACATAAGAAAAACAAGTCAGATGAAATAAATGTGTAAATAACTCCTTTAGCTCTGATTATCTGATGCTTAAGGCTCTGTATGACTTATTAGCAGCCTTCAAGTCAACACTCTTCTCAATACCGGGTTCATGTGTGAAAGAGACAAAGAGAGAAAAAACAACAATGCAGCACACACGTACTACACACTCGGCCTGAGTGCTCTGTAGCAGCTTGCTCTGCTCTTGTGTGACATTTTTTTCTTTAGAATTCCCACTTAACAAGATACAGAAGAAGAAGCGCATAACAAGAGAGCGAGAAGATAAGCCTTTTTTTTTTAAATAGATAGCGCTGCCAGGAAAAGGCCTCTTCATGTACTTTCAACAAGTTTAGGTTGTGTGAATGCATGGGCGGCACTTCACTGTATAAGCCAGGAGCACTAAAGTTACAACTTAAAATGCATTGTTCTGTTTAAAAAAAAAAAAAAAAAAAAAATTAGCACACTGTTATTAAGACATACATTTAAAAACACAATGTGTGATAACGTCGTTGTTCACAGTACAACACTGTGTCAGTGATTTATGGTTAATGAATGAGTGAATGTTTCCAATACTGCATGTATACACACACAGGAAGAGAAGTTGTTGTGGCTTTGCTAATGTGCAACTAAATAAGTAAACAGTATGTTTTCCTCAATGCTGTGTGCAAATGGAAAGGACTTAATGTAGAAAAGAGTTCAAGCTAAGTTTGATACAGTCTGCTTTCTCACTGTTGGCAGAGCGACATGTCACATATAGACAGGCCCAGATGCTCCGGTAGCGTCCTCGTGACTGTCACGTTGGAACATTTGCAAGTCAACGACGGCTCTGACTACCATCTGCTCTGCTGGAGATGGATACTGTGAGGGCTTTTTTTCAATTCTTTTTATTACACTGTCCTCACTTTATCTCCTCTTACTCACTCTCTCTTTCTCTTTTTTTTGTATCCTTAAATAAATCCTTTCCTTCACTGAGTCCTGTCAGCATAGAAAACTGCTGCGATCATTTCAGGATGTTTTTTTTTTTTTTTTTCCAGGGCCGAGTGTGACGTGTGTAAATCTGAAGCGATGAGTGAGTAAATAGTGACGGGGAAATGGGGGCATTGTGGGATTTGAAAAAAAAGAAACATGTGAGTATTTTGGGTGGAGCAATAGATGTCTGTATTTTTTGAAATACAAAAGACACCTTTTCATGACTTCTACCCTTTCAGTTGGAACTTTAATTTCATGTTTAAACAACTAAAAGATTCAAAAGGGATTCTGATTTCTTCAGATGATTTTCTACCTTGCCAGTTTGCTGATATTGCTACCACCTAGATTACAAAAAACACATTTTCTCGCTTGATATCTTTGATATAAATCGCACATTGCTAAAAGAAAAACTAAATTCTATACAGCACACTTTCAATACATGAGAGTATACAACAGTACATCCATTCCTGGAGGCCATGTGAGCAAACCAAGCTCCACATTGTTCAGCATTGATAAAGTGAATGGAGGTCAACAGATAGAGAAAATAATTGGAATCTTGGCCTCATCTGTCTTCTTTCTCTTGTGTTAGAGCGAGCCGCCGTGTTTTAAGGCACTAACGCTCCAACCCCTCCGGCTGAATACATTACCATGATCTACTGTGGTGCTGCAGCCCACTCAGCCGTCCAAAGGTCTCTGGCCGGAGATGTGGTGAGAGACACGGACTGAGCGAGAAAAGGTGGACCGGGCTGCGTAGGAGAAATGCGGAAAAAGGGGTCACGGTGTCAAAGATCACGCGGAGGCTATGATTCGATAAGCCCGTCACTGGCGGTTCCTCTGCTCCTGCACTTTGTTACTCCTACACGGGGTCTGCTTTCCTGCCCAGCCTGCTGCTCCAACGAGCTGCTGAAGCTCGTTCAAACTTTAACCCTCATTTGTCAAAAGTATCTGTGCAGTGTTTAACTAGTGCAAATACAGAGTTTGTAATTAATAAGATATGACATGCTAGATGTGTGCTGGATGATAGGGGGAATAATAACTTTGAACATCTTTGGTTAGCTCTTCTTTAGGGGGTTCAGAATAAGGTATGAATATTAGAAGCATTTATTGTCACATATTTCAGACGTTTTCTCACATTCTGACAGCAATCAAAACATTACATTTTGAAACAAATAAAAGAAAAATATGCGGTATGTGTTGCTGCTTTAGGCCCCTAATAAGCCTGTTGAATCATTTTATTTGTACCGTACAAAAGGAAGGGATGACTTATCTGCCGGTCCACATGCACTCACTCTGCCTGTAAACTCTGGAAGGTGTTTTTCTTCTTTGGTTTATAGGTTGTTTGACACAGTACATTTAGTCTAATTGCAAAACTTAAGGGGGGAAGGTCACGGCCTGTGTGTGTCACATTCTCTATCTCCTGAGGGTTTGACGGTTTGGATTCAAATGCTGTCCTGTAGATACTGGACTTGCTTTATCTTAAAGTCAATCAAATTCCTTCCTACATATCATTGAAGTATCCAATATAATCTTCACATATTTTGAGTTGTGTAAGAATCATAAAGAGTAAAAAAAACATGGACGTAGTCTCAGTGACGTCACCCATTGGTTTCTGAAGACGCATTATGAAGCCAAAGGAGGGCAGTCGCCATATTTGAAATGCTATCTTTCAATCAATTAAGTAACAGGCAAAGAGTTTGAGTGAAGGTTTATAGCATAGCATAGCATAGCATAGCATAGCATAGCATAACATAACAGCAGCAACGCACTCAAGGAACTGTTTTTTTTGTTTATTTGCACTACCGCATTGGCTTCATTTTTCAAGACTGAAGGTTGCACTTTGTATGAAAACCCTTTTTCTTGGATTTGTGGATTATCTAGGCATAGTGTAGAGACACATATTCCTCCTGTGAACTGTGAACATCTGTATTGTTCATGAGTTCTCTTCTTTAGTAAAGCTTATATGAACACTTCTGCATATGATCTGTATCCCCTAAAAGTCATTCATTTCTTATTCTTGGTTTTCATCATACCCATGGGCAAGTATTCTGCACAATTCTTAAAATTGCAAGCAAGTTGCACAAGAACGGCAGAGAAAGGTGTTTCGATACAGTTAGCAATGACAGTGAAAAATCTGCAATCCTCCCCTGAACGCTCTCCAACTGCCCTGCCATGAATCATTTGTTACCCAGAGAACACTTAATGTGTTTTTTTCATCAAGGCGTTATCAAACCAAGCCCATTTTGCTTTAATTCTGGATAAAATAAAGTGACACTGACACGTCAATAAGAGAGCAACACAACAGACGTTAAAGAGGAAAAGTGACAGCCCTCTAAGCGCCAGGCACCAAAAAGCCAGGTGATGCATGTAAATTGTATGTTCAGAGTGTCCACTAACATTGATTGTTAGTAATGATCTGTGCCTCTATCACTCAGTGGAGCAGACAATCAGCCTGATTGGCCCTGACATGATCGAGGCCTGACTGGCACTGCAATGTTGAACACTTTCTGTGATCAGCAGCAGCTTATGTGCAGAGCATCAAACACTGACACTCAGTCCAGGGCCGTCTTAAATGCGGCCGAGGAAATCTTTCTGGGACAGGGAAATGTTCTGGGGGAAGAAAAAAGAAAAAAAAAAAGCCTTTCAGCTTTAATCAAGATTATGATAAATGTTTCAGCCGTGAATCTGGTGACAGATACCGAGCATTTCACAAAGAAAATTGACTTTTTTTTTTTTGCCACTGCCGGATCCTTTGTGAACGTGTGCAGGTGACACAAGGGAGCCGGAGAAGAGAAGCAATTTAGCGGGAGACAGGTGATCATTTGAAGGCTGCCTGACAGACAGCAGCTCTTATTGCTATAGGCTGCTCTGCTATTTGCCTTCTTCCTCTGACAAAAGGGGGGAGAAAAGGGGGAGAGTAAGGGGAGATGTGATGGAGGATGGGTAATTGTAACCTTAGCATTTAATAGAAATTCATTCTGTGTGGCTGTGGGGCCAATCAAGACAGCGACACAGGCCTCTATTGTGTGGTGGGGGGGGGGAGCTGGAAGAGACGAAGTAAAGCAGAGATGAACAAGTCCTTTTTCAAAAAGCCTCGGCAAAATGATGAATCAGACAAGCGCAGCAACCCACACGCATGAGTCAAATCCCATCCCTGCAGGTCTCCAGGAGTCTCTCGCTCATCAAGTGTTTTCTTCTCTTAACATGAAACAGCAACTGATTTGTCTTTTACTTGTAATTACCCGGCTTTCAAAATTCACAAAGGTCTTTTCAGGGAACTGCGTCCTCACAGGAGGAAACACTGCCCCACCAAAAAAAAAAAAAAAAAAAAAGCCCAGGGCTAGGAGTTAGGAGTTTTTTTAAGTAAAGGAACATTCACTAAGCAAGTCAGACACTTAAGGCCAATTTTAGCCTGCTAATGTGAGGGATGAAGAGTTGGAATTTGCAGAGGAGGAGGAGGAAGAGGCATGTAGGGACAAATCTGCTTAAAAATATACAAGTGTGAGCTGGCGTTAGGAAATGTTTCAGCGTGCGTGCATCTGTACCTGTATGAATAAGGCAGGAGATCAAATGTGTATGCATCTGTAGAATATCATCACATTACAGCTGCTGGTCACAGTCAGAGGTCAGGACCCCATTATAGGTCATAGGACAAATGTAAGGGATCATGAGTACAGGAATTAAGAAAAAGTAAATTCTGCTACTCTTTCAGTATATCGAAGATCCCACCGTCCAACTCTGGTAAATGTGGCTTCACCTCTGAACCAAAGTATTTATTTACTGTTGTGTAATTACATTTTTGTTTACTGTCTAAGTTATGCACATCTGGATAGTGTTTTAAGCTGTGGACATAGACTATAAAGTTTTCTCTTGACATTACACCTGGACCCTCTGGGAAATGATTTAGCCGTAGCTCACATTTGATTTATAAGACACTGTGATGTATTTTATTTTAATCATAACTGCCATTGCTCAGTCAACACCTTTGTCACATATATCAGCAGAATTCAGCACAGTATAAATAATTATAAACCAAGACTTAGTGTCAAAATAAACTTAAATAGAGTCAAGATATTGAAATAATAAAACAACAGGTTAGGTAGACTCACACAGGGCAGAATTAAATAAAGTATTCATGTGTTTATTAATGGAGCCTTATTTGCAAGAAAGTTATGTTGTGTAAAAGGAGCCTTCATGTCCGTAATAGTGGGAACAATAAACTGGATGGGCTCTGGTTGCTTTAGTTTATTGGCAGGGGTGGATCCAGGGTGTGGCCAGGGTGGCCTGGGCCCGACTTGAAACCCGATTTGGCCACCTCAAAATCCTTCTCAAAAAAATCCTATCAACTATATGCCTGTCAGCACATGTGTCTGATTAAACTAAGAGCTGTTGTTTCCTCCTCTCTAGATCCTTGCTGTGTTGTACTTACTCTCTGGTGTAAGACGGATTAAAGCGTCTGCTAAGTGAATTGTAGAATTGTAGAACTATTTTGGCTGTGCTGCCACAGGCTGCTAGTAGCTTTCTTTGAATTTCAGAATGGAAACATGTCAGTATTTAAAATGTCTAAAAATTGTGATTAATAGTGTTAATCACAGCCTCAATTGTGTTTAATCATCATTAACTGATTTTAATTGATTGACAGAATTTATATGTTAGATCAGAGCGCTTTATGATGGGTTGTGTTACTACAATGTATCCACAGAGCTCCATTCTTTTACATATTCTGCTCTCCTTCCCCTCTTTCATCCCATTATTCCCCTTTTAGTCCATTCATCTGCCCTCCCAACCTTCCCCCAGACCGCGGAGAGGAAAATCTCATCCTCTTAATTAAACAAGGAGCCCCGGGACAGGGGCTCAAATGCAATTTGTAACGATTTCCCGCAGCCAGAACTTTGATTATACAAGGGCTCTTTATGCTGACCAAAGACTTCTGACCACAGTTAATCTTCCATTGAAAGCCATTAGGAGCCTCCTTGCTCCCAATCATGCACACCTCAGACACTCCCCCCATCGACCCACACACACTTTCTACACTGTCTTTGCTCTCCTTTCAACTCACTCCATTACTGAAAGTACCTTTAGAAAGCTTTGAAAACCTAAGTTTTTTAAAGTTAAGATTGTTGTTATGGGTGACTATTGGGAAGGTGAAAGGCAAAGTCAGGGGCATGGGTTGATGAGCTGAGATTTCGCCCGAAGAAAATTGAGAGTAAACTCTTAATTAAATACTGCATGCAGACCACTCTCACTGAGAGCTGCATTATTCAGATGCTCGTCGGAGTGCTTGAGACGGCTGGGTTCAAGCGGAAGTTAGGGAAGCGTAGAAAGCTGGAGGGGCTGTTAGAAGAGATAGCACTTTTTTCTTTTCATACCCAAGCTAAACATCACTTAGCTTGCTTGTATAGCATTTGGCAACTCAAGCAGGACCTAGTTAGCATACATTTTCCAGCAGTTTTGTTCAGGGATTGCATACTGAACTGGCTGTAAGACAATTATAGAGATTCTTACATTGACGGACTCTCGGCCGGCGTATTTGACTCGGATCCTTGGCTCCTGGACAACATCCAGATTGGTTCCTGTCACCATCAGGGGGGTGTGGCCACTGTGGAAAACACAACATGAGTTATTCTGGTTCATTTTTTAAATAATCATGTTTGTCTAATGCCTCTTCTTGTCTTTTCTTATTGATCAATCAGAGGAAAGAATACAGAAGGGGGTTTAAAAGAAGAACAAAAAGGAAGAAACAAAGTAGTTCAAAGGCACTTCTGGAGTAAACTTTCTAACCCTCATGTACCTCCTCAGAATATTCAGCATCAGTCAGAAATAAGTGCTTTCATCCTCAGTTTCTTTGGTGAGATAATAGCCATTGGAGTGGAGGATGATTAGAGAAGCTTTTTTTAACCGACTTCAACGTCCTGCATTCAACTGGTGCACATTTTGGGCTTGAAAACACCGAGGTAGCTGGAGAACATAAGAATGCAGCGGTGGTCCCAGGCTTCATAAGACAGCAGCTCAAACAAACAAAGCACGCAAACAAAGCAGGAGGGAAACGGCTGGATGTGAGGCTCTCCCTGCAGCTGTTTGGCTTGTTTTCGATGTCTGTTGTCTTTGTTGTGGCGCCCGTCAGAGCGGCGTGCTGAATAAAGATGGCAGGCGGGAGAGATGCTCAAATTATAAATGTGGGATGGATCTGTACTATTAGACTAACAATGTGGATAGTCAATTACCATGGAGGGGCTTTGTACTGTCTATAGGCTTGTTAAATAATCTACTCAAACATTTATTGTCTATCCGTCCTTCCATCTATCTATCTAGTCATCCATCCATCTATCCATCAATCATCCATCCATCCATCATCTATCTGTATGTACTTCCAAACATCCATCCATCTATCCATCAATCATCCATCCATCCATCATCTATCTGTATGTACTTCCAAACATCCATCCATCCATCCATAAATCCATCCATCCATCCATCCATCTATCAATCAATCCATCCATCCATCTATCCATCCATCTATCAACCCATCCATCCATTCATCCACCCCACCTCTCTACCACTTCATCAGTCCATCTTTCTTCATAGTGACTCATCTCTCCATCCAGCCATCAAAACAGCTCTCTATGAACAGCTCTCCATCCATCATTTATCCAACCATCCATTCAGATAAAATAAAGGTGTGTCATCACACATTTGCTGCAGTGTCCCTCACCATAGTCTCTGAGCTGCTACAGCCATCTGCTGTGGACTCACACCTCTGATTGCACATTGTTCTACAGATCCTCTGCGTCATCTACATCCTCTCGTTCTCTAACTAGCAGTGCAAAGTGTGTGGGCTACTATCTACCAAAGATACTCAACAGATGGATCAACATCGACTCCAATGGGAGAATCTCAGACTTAACAGCACCCAATCTGTGAGCTGTGGCACCTCTATCAGACCAAGACTAATTGGAGGAGCAGCCAACTGTAATTGAAAGTGCAATATTGACTTGTTTCTGCTTACTGTCACTGGCTTGGTCTGGCTTGCTGCAAAGCTCTTATAGTGTGATATCAGAAACTCAGGGTTGATTGGTCATGCCACATGTTCAGTGTTCTGACCAAAGGCTGTAAAAAGGAAATATCTGTAACCAGCTAAATTGATCATTTGTTTTTTGAGTCCACCAATTGAAGCTTCAATCATTTTGGCTGTCAGCATCTTCTTTCATGAATCAGAAGTCACGATATTTGGACGATAGAGAGACTTGTCTTTCACATGTTCTATTGTTGAATTTGTTCTTAATGGGACCAATTAATTAAAAACATCTTGTTGAGGAACATTTTTACTGAGTCAACAAATCATTTGAAAAGAATAAAATCTACTACTGTCCTTTAGAACACACACAGTCCACTGGCTTCACCTCTGAATCACTTGGCTATGTCCACCTCTTTACAACAGTCAATGGTTACGACTTTACCTTGCAATGCTCCAGTCAGGGTCAATCCGCTGGACGGTGGGATCCTCGATGTACTCAAAGGTGAGGCTCTCCTTGATCTGTGCGCGGTCAACACTCACACTGATCTGCACTGGGCCGACCCCAGACGGGGAGGGGGCGGAGTAGCAAATAATCTCCGTCATGGTCCGCCTAGAAGAAAAACATGAAAAGGAATGTAATCGATGTAATAAGCATTCATAAATGTCTGCAGAAAGAATCTCCACTTTCAGAAAAGTCCATTAAAAAAATCCCCTTTATGTATTATTAATTTATCTACAGAACTTTATGAACATATAGCTTTAGCTGATATGAGCCAAAAACGTACCTACAACAAATTAATGTTTGTACTGCAAGCCCTGTTCTGTAATTTTCTAAATAAAAACACAGGGAGAACAGCTAATCCTGTCATAATAAGAGCTCTAATTACTGCATGGAAGATATTTGTAATGCAAACAATTAAACATGGGGGAAAAAATGAGTTTGTGGAATCTCTTAGATTCATCTTTAAACACACACAAGTGCAAATGACCTAATCCACATACAAGTCTATACACGTAAACATTTCACCACTGTCAGATGTGTTTCTGTATTCTCCCCTCCCTCTCCATGGCTCCATGCTGTACCTGCCCACCCTCTGAATTTGTCCCAATTTATCAGCACGGAAGAGCTTGTAGTAGAACAGCCCCCCCCGTCCTCCCCCCCCCTCCTCATCCCCGAAATGCGGCAGAGAAACACAAACCAATAATTAGCCCCATATCTCATTAAAGCTGGCTTGACTCCTCAACCTTCACAACATTACAGTCGAACCGCTGCAGCAGGGTTTTAGATGCCTACAGGAGGGGGGAAAGTAGAAGGAGGACGTGTGGGAGAAACTAACAAGTGAAGGAGAAGGAGGGAAACTGTGAGAGACAAAAGGAAAAAAGGGAGAGGGATGAGCGATGAACAAATAGATAGAAAGATAGAAATAGAAGGAGGGAGGGCGGTTTGAAGAAGATGAAAGATCCATAGGTGCAGCATTCTTTCTGAAAGCTTTTCCTTTCAAGGTTTGATGCAGTAGGTCATCAAAACCGTATTAAGATTTACATAAGTTTTCTGACAGCGAGAGAAAGAGAGGTTTCCCCTGAGGGATTTTTTTTTTTTTTTTTAGTAATATCATGAGAGAAAAAAAAATACAAGAAAGCCTTGAAATATAGCGGCTTGTTTAATGGGAATAATATGCATCATCTTGGGAATAGGAGCTCTTCATTCCCTCACAGCATGCCTCATATCTAACGTTCAGTGACAGTGATGTATGTAGCAGCTCAGAGAAGTTAAAGAAACACGGAGTCAAACAGCGGCGATGCTATCTGTACTGTATATAATAAAAGGCATCGATTCTTTTTGGCTTCTTTCAAAAGGCAAATTCAAAAAGTTATCTAAAACATAAAACATAAAAATGTCAATCTGCCTAAAAATGGTCCTGGAAGAAAACGTTTGGAAACCAGTAAGTGAAATGTTTCTATCCAAAACATTTTTTAAACTCTATTGACCCTTTTTGTGATGTTTTGTAAAATAATCATTATCCTCTGCTGCAAGTAAAACACTCAGCACTGCTTCTGTTTTCAATCATTTTCCACAATTATCATTGCAGATGGAGGAGGGGATGCATCTTTTTTTCCCTCAGTAAAGAAGGTATCTTTGCTTCCACTGCTTTCCCTCCTCTGACTTGCTGATGCTCATTTGTACTTTCGGTCTTTCAAACTGATCCTTAATTTAGCAGCTTTGTCATCATACACGTTTCAGACAGAGGTTCTCCTGCAGGTCTTTTTTTTAATCCACAAATCATGTAAACACACCCAGGATCTGTGGTAATAGAATAAGACCCGACCCCTACTAAACATGAGTCATTATACGTTATTATTATAAAGCATAGAGTTGAACTCGTATGGAATCTGGACAGGTCTCAGGTCCGAGGGGTTTTGGTAGCCTGTGAAGACCTCTAATCCACATCACACTCTAGTTTAACCTGTGGACTGTAAAACTCCAGAACGGTGCCTCTCATTTACACTTCACACCTCTCACCCTTTCCCACTAATCTTAATGTGCAAGCACAATAAAAAATCCTTTCCCCATGAATAGCCTGCGTTAAACAAAAGCCCGATCATGCGGGCTGTTTGAGCAAATTAAACTTTATGGCCTGCTAATAGAGCTTTTTACGGTATAATTGGGTGCAAGAGGGAAGAGTCTCACCCAAAGAACTCGCAGGTCTGGTTCCCGAACTGAACGTTGACGCTGCTGCCGGCGCCGAGGTTCTCTCCAATGATGGTGACTTTGGTGCCCCCAGACTCTGGACCCCTGCTGGGGGACAGACCTGTGACTGAGGGAGTCTGCGAAACAGAGAAACAGAAGTTTAAAAAAATGACTCTGAGTGAAGAGAGAGGAGCATAAAATCAAGAAGGCAGACAAAAGATGCTCGTGACCTAGGGTAAAAAAAGAGGCCAGCAGCTCTGTGGCACTTCTCCAAACCTTCATGTATTAACGCCACCCACCCCCCACACACCAAGCCAGAAAATTACAGTTATTCATATTGCCACACTGATGGTAGTGGAGCTCAGTGCTGCAGGGAGGAAAAGAGGATAAAACCAGGAGCTCTTAGAGTCCCCGAGAGATCCTCCTCCTGCACGACGTGCTTTGCTCGGGTTGTGTCTGAGTGAAGCTTTTTAAAGACACTCTGAAAATAACTAGTGTTTACAGCTGCAGGCAGCGAGGCCGCTGTCACACACACACACACACACACACACACACACACACACACACACACACACACACACACACACACACACACACACACACAGATGGAGTAAATATCCAAGCAGACAGTCATCATGCAGAGAAAAAACACATGCGCACAAATATAAAACAACAATTACAAAAAGTGTGAATACATACTACACAACATGTCCCTTTGCAAAGTGTTCCAGTATTAGTGAGTGGCTGAAAAACACAGTCACACGGGGAGTATGTCTTGCAGGGAAAGAACACACGAGTCGTGTCTTAATTTTTAGGTGGCCTGCAACACGAGGGAGTCGTGACTTTCACCAATTCTAGTTGCTGTGAAGTACTCTGAGAGGATTTCTCCACGTTTTTCCCAAAGAAGCAGGTGTGTGACGATAGTGAGAAAAAAAGGTAGCCGAGCTGGGAGCATCACGCTGACAGAACTCAAAACTGTCAGCTAATTGTGACTTTCAGGATGCGGGCGAAAGCAGGTACTCATAAATTTTTTTTTTTAAAAAACAACTGCAGTAATTAGCGGCTGCTGTTAATTGATAAGAGAGTGCTAATTGTGAAGGTGTGAGAGAGCGAGAATGGGAAAAGTAGATTATCTGTTAGCTGCAGGCTGGGCAGGCGGCAAAATAACAGAGACGGGGGGGAAATATGTGTGTGAGCCGGCTAACAAGAGGGGGGTAGATAATGTTAACCTGCGGTGTGTAGCGCTGATTTTTCATTCGAGCTATTTGTTTGTTCTTTAATTCATTCATTGATTCTGTCTCACTCTGCATCCACTAAGATCCAATCCTACAATTTTTACTTCCCAGATGTAAAAGCTAAGCCTAACATCATTCTAACATCATCTAAAAGAGCGTTCACTTATTCTCAAACAGAAATCTTCAATAAATCTCAGACAAGTTTCTTAAAATTTTAGGGACAGTTTTGGAGATTTTTTTATCATATTTTGTAAGACGGAATAAAACATGCAGTTAATGCAAATGCTCCCTGTGAATCTGGGCTGAAGCCGATACATCTGTAGTTCTTCCAGCACCAGAAACACTACAAACTATTTCAGTTTCAATGCCAGGCTCTGTCTTGGCTTAAATCTTTGCTACCAGCAGCTAAAGTAGCACCCTAATTAGTGCAGAGGATGTTATGGACAAGAATACCCTTTACAGTGTTTTGGTCGACTTGGATATAGAGAAGCACTAATTGGAGTCACTGCATACAGCTGACGACATAAAGCCCATGAGGTTGAGGGAACAGCTACTTGCAAGCAATGCATCCTGGTACATGTAGGCACTGCAAGCTCCAAAATCATTTCCTCTTAATCTGTATTTATTCGCTATTTCAGCAGTTCAAACTGTTTGGTAATCAACACCAAACATGGCATGAATTACTTTTAGTACAGCTCAGCTAGCGAGAGGTAAAGACGATGTTGATTTGCAAAGCTTTGTGTCCGTTGTGGTTAGATTCATTTGATTTTATGATCCTCAATAAAGGTAAACAGAATCTGTAATCAGAGAGCTGCAGGGATCAGTTGAAAACACTTTGCTGCTAATGGAAGGATGTTTTTCTAAAACAACAAGTAAACATTCACAGAGCAGCTTCATTAAACTGTCAGTTGGCATGGCAACTTTCTTTTTCTTTTTTTTTTTTTTGCCTTTGGCACATGAACTTCTCTTCAATAAAAGTACAAATCACTTTTTTATTGAACTCACTTTATGGAGTTGAATTGCTGAAATGCAGCTTCTTAGCTTGTCCTGAAGCAAACTTTACCTGTGAGCGTTATGTTATGTGAGCATACAGGGCAATGTGACGTTACTGTGCAGACCTACCACAAAGGAGTAGAGCTGTGGGGAGCGAGCTCTGAGC